GAAGCCGGTTTGGGTCAACACTTTGATGATAATTATTTCTTTTGGGGCATCTACACCGTTAGCAAGATGTTCGTGCCTATTGGGTACGTAAGAAGATATTCTAGCCACAATCAATCAAAACAGGAAAAGTATTTGCTGTGATGCTTAAGTAAGTGGGTTGTTCTTCGAAATAAATTATTTTTGTTAAGTTTTCATATATTTTTTAGAACCTTTATGTAAGCTATTTTTATCAAGCCAAATGCAATGTAAGCATACTCTAAAAGATTATTTTATGAAAGGCACGTATTAATTTTCATTATTCTTCGTAATATTTGTAAATTTCTAATTATTCACGTTGATACTAATGACACCACGCACTGAGAATGACTTTAGCTTGTATAATAATGACGCCGTGTTGCAGACAATGATCTAAAATCTTTCATTTTTGGGTATTTAACAATAAAAAACATTTAAGTAATCAAAATATTTATTAAGTATATTATATAATATTTATTTATTAAACAAAGGATTCAAAGTAAATGACAATCTTAAATTATTAGCGTGAGGCGATAAATACGTAACTGTGAAGCTAAGTAGGTACTTAGATATTTCTTAAAAACAAACTGTCACACTCAAATAACTTAATCATCTAGCTAATAAAGGACTCAGTCTCGTATTATAGAACGTCTACCAAGACTCAAGCGTTACTTAAAAATAGTTTCAACCAATCAACTGGTTTGAATCTAATTTTAAGTAATGCTTGAGTATTAATCAAATAAAAAAAAAATAGTTTCAAGAAATCAACTGGCTTGGATCTACTTTTAAGTAATTCTTGAGTACTGATGAAATAAAAAAAATAGTTTCAACCAATCAACTGACTTGAATCTAGTTTTAAGTAATGCTTTAGTATTGAGCTATGTTCTGTAATACGGGATTTAGTTTTTCTTTGGTAATAGTAATTTGGTAATTATTTAAAAAAATCACAGATTAACTTCTTCAATTAAGGACATAATTATTAAGAGAGTTCCACATATTTTAGCTACGTGATGTATATCTCTTAAAAATATTCATATCTGCATCCGCATTGCGTCCTCATCCCCGTAATATCCTTGATCTACACACAGGATAGACAAATATTAAGTTTCAAATAGTATACTTTTACTTACAATTTTAGGATTCAAAAGATTTCACGCAAAAAATATCACGTATTATCATCTTAATTCCAATCGCAATTATTATCAACTAAATTGGAATAATCAAAATGGGTCAATTTTCACTGAAGCTGAGTCTTATTAGTGACATCAATAAGAACATTAGAAATAATCTGAATTTTGTTTTGATTTTGAGATTTACGCTTAGTGTTTGCCAGGGGAGTTACACAAGAATCAAGATCGTCGTTCTGATTTCTAAAGGACTTATTATTGATATAACCCAGATGCTTACCATGGGAGCAAATTTCACCAGCATCACATAGGAAGCAACTCATATTTCTCATAGTGATTTTAGGTCTGAACGCGTCCCAAAGAACCTGATGTACAGAAAGGGTGCCCCTGAATGGTTTCAACTGCTCAGGAATCAATCTCTCCCTCTGAATTATGTCTTGCTCTGAAACTCTTTGAATTATAATATTTTCTAATCTTGATTCCATGATTTTGTAAAACTCATCAAAATTTCCAACATCTGAACCAAAATGCACCATTTGATCTGCTACTCTTTTTATTGTACCACCAACGCCATCAGGAGCACCCTTTCCGTGCCCAGCTTCAGAATAATTCCAGGTTATTCTAGTTATATTACTGTGTTGGGACGACAATTGACTGATAATATAAAACATATATTTATTCCGGTATTGCGATGACGGCGAATCGGATAAGTGCCGACAATGATGTAGCATAGAATGACGAGTTGAGGAAAAAACCTGTATGGACTTGTCTGTGAGCATTAAAAAACCGTTATGATTAGACTAAATGAATTCATTTGCCACTGGCTATTGAATAAAATACAAACGAAAATATTACGTATGTGCATTTAAGGAGTTTAGGTTGAAACACAAATGATATTTTTAATGACAAAATGTGAAGAACTATAAAAAATTACTTACAGCTCTCAGACCCGCACGTGCTCGTTCACCAATAGGTCTCCGCCGACTGAAGGCCCCTCCCGCACACCCGGGAAGGTGTATTAAAGATGCGTTCGAAAATGCGTCGTTCAATAATAAGATTTAACAACGTTACTGCGACAAATGACGTTTTTCTTGTAGCAATAATTTGAATTGAAGTTTAAGTTAACCATGCAAAGTATTTGAAGAGGTTTTTATTTTAAACGAAGGTTAATTTATTAAACTTTCATACATAAAATTTTTAGAATGTATAAGTATTTAATAAATTATTTGTGAACAAATGTTGTGTTAAGAGACGTCATAGGAATAGGAGTAAAATGACGTTTAGCGACATTTTTGATTTTTTTTTCATAAATTAAACCAAAGATGTATTTTTTAAACTGGGTAACATGTAAAATAATGGTAAATATATATAAAAAGCTTATTAATTGTGTCATGAAATTTTAGTATATTAAAATAATTGACCGGAAGACGTTTTTTTGCCCCTTTTGAAGAACAACCCAAATACAACTCGATTAATTGCGCTCTTTAGGTTTTTTTTCCGGATAGTATACATTTTACAGAAAAGCAAACTTGCGGCCAAACTGGAAACAGTTTGTTGGCGAGCATGCTCTTACACAATTATAGTCTTCTTAATAATTAACTAAGTACCTAACAGTGATAAGGTATGTACTTCTCATGAAAGTCAGACTTACTTAATAAACAAAGCAACAATTACAATGATGCTAGGTCAGAATACAGTCCTTAAGTCTTTAGATTAAAGTTTTTCCTTTTGAAATTTTCGTAAATAACATAGCGGGAAATAAAATAATGATTGAAATAGAACTACAACTTTCTGTTACACTCTGTATGTGCATTAATGATGTTGGATGAAAAGGTCCGGGCAACCTCTACAGCGATGATTCCCAAAGTATTATAAACATTGATCCCCAGGGGTCCACTTAAACATACAAGGGGTCCATGTCAGCGAAAAAAAATAGAGACTGCATGAGACGTTAATGGGTGTCCACAAGAGTGAAAGTAGGTTAAAACCCAAAAAAGTTAGGCTTTGGTTTTTGCCCAAAAATATTAATAACCAGGCGGGTTGATTTGGTTTTAACCCACTACCCTTCTCTGGACCGACCGTCTGATGCCACATACACACAAATAAATTCTTCAAAGCTTGCGTCCGAGTAAAAAACTTTAACGGATCCTCTAGGTTTATAAGATTTTCTTGAAAATTTCATGACATTTGCAGTCCACAAAACATGCCCGCCAACATCTTGGAGCGCTTCACGTACTTGGTGATCATACTTACTGGAACATTGGTAGTGATTGGCCTCGCCGTCGCCACCATGGCTATCGTCTTGTCGGTCTATTTGAAACATGAAGAGGCTTTTCGGGCCAGGTTTAAACTCATTATGCGAGATATGGTACGTAACAGTTCGCTAATGCCAAATGCATCAGAGACAATTGTTAAAATTAGTATATATAATAAAACTGATAATATAAAGGTGAATGTGAACGAGATGAGTTTAATTGATTGATGATTAAACAATGTTCCTTCAGAAAGAGACGCATATGCCGATGGAGCTACAAAACAAAGTGGAGTCCTTTTACCGCATGTACTGGCACAAACAGAACGGCGTCTCAGACTCACAGTTGCTGCGCATATTTCCACCGGCGTTCTCTAACATCGTATTCTCTGAAATATACTTCGAGGCCCAGCAAAAGGTATAAGAGGGACGTACTGTGATTGATACTGATTTCGAAACTATAGTAAATATCGTGACATTCAATAAAAACTTAAAAATTGGAATTATTAAATCGACATCTCTAGTCAGCTGCTGGTATTTGGAAAGATAACTGGTTGAGTGAAGAAAAGCTTTCATAAATTTCTCACAGATGACGCTAAGGCAAAATGTCGTTAGAAACCAAAAATAAATATTGCAACAAGCACATAGAAAAAATCGTAAAGTCCTCTAGTTCGTCCCGTGGCTTAGTTGACATAGTGTCTGACGTAGCTATCCATTATCCAGCTGGACTGAAGGAATTTTTTCTTAGTCTTCGATCTTTGTATTAATAATTATAGTAAATTTCTTGATCAAGAAATTTATAGGGCCGAGGACCACATTCGCTGCGAGCACTTCCCTCCAATTCAGATATTACCGATACAGATGCATTGCTTCGTGTGGCGCATTTAGATTCATAGCCGTTAGAAAGACATTTATTATCGAATCGAAATCTGTAATTTCAGAGTCGTGTGTTACGCGATCTATCGACTTCCTTTTTGTCCGAGATTGCCAAAGTGATGACCACTACTAATTATATTCCCGGTGATCCAATCATAAAGCGCAATTCCACAAAGTCTTCTATAATCTACATTACATACGGAGATGTTGAGGCGAGTATAAATCATGCTTATCAGAATGTCGATGCTATGATCCCTGATGGCTGTTTTGGTTTTCATGGCTACTAAAACTAACGAAGATTACGATTGTTTAAAAAGAGATTAGTTTTAACACATAGACAACCACAAATTACACCCAAACTCACGAGAGAAATAAATGTAGGTCATACAAATATTTCTCCCGGCCGGGAATCGAACCTGGGACCTCTGCGCGGCAGTCGTCCACCTCGTGTACCTCGGCATGGTAACCGTTCGACCACGGAGGCAGTTTATTTAGTGCTTATTATATATAATCTGAGGCGAGGAAATGTGCTTCTCAACCATAATAATCGCCTAATTGTACTTCTTTGTAAAAGCAATGATATTGGGCATTTCTTAGATGCTGACAGCAGAGGACGACTTAACGCCTATCTTACGTTTTTCCCGTGGCACGATTTTGAATGGCTGCGGCGGATGTCCGCCAGCCGGATGTGCACGCTCTCACGTCGAGATCCGAGCCGCTACCTTTTGTACGACCCTTGAATTACGCACCGCCGATTTGTGGAAAGTTATTGCCAAATTTGGCAAGGGCAATGCCCAAGCGTTTATCATACTCTCCGCATTCGAGGTCAGTTTATATTATTGATATGATCATAGTTAATATGACGGAAAGCTCTGGAGGGGCATTTATGGAGAAACCGTATTCCATAATTGACGCTCGAACTTTACTCAATGAAACAATAATCAGTTTATTAACTTCTATTCAGGAAACTTAACATCCATATACGTAACTGTAAAATATATCGCGATTGATTTGTTTAATTAGGATGCACTTCAAGGCCATTCCAAATAACAAAGAAACTTCGCCGGCGGTTTTCCCTGCTTGCTTACACACCACACAGTCAATAATAATATTAATACGTATAACAGTTGGCTAACCTGTCATGCCAGGAGCGCCAACATTGCAACATTAGGTGTTACTCTTTTAATAAATTATCTAGTAGCGATAGGAAATGAAACTATTTTTCCGGATTTAAATCGCGTATATTTGTTTTTTCAAACAAACCAAAACAAAAGAGGTGTGTTTGAAAAAACAAATATACGCGATTTAAATCCGGAAAAATAGTTTCATTTCCTATGTGTAACAATCGCGAAAACCTAAGAACTCGATATCTAGTAGCGACCTCTAGAATTATCTATTCTATTAATATTAGCGCCACCTATTTTTTAGAAATAACAAGTCAATGTAACATTCCCATCGAGTATATAACCAGAAATAGAGACGAAATGTTATTTAATTTGTTTGAAAACTATTCTGCCATATTATTACGGTGACAACTGCGCTCCGATTGGCTAGCCCGAGTTCGAAACAATTGATGGGTGTCGTCAACTGTTTCACTTCAAATCGATTAGTTAACTTGAGCTTTGCCATAATGGACGAAAATTGCTAAATTACATATTTAATATTTAATTACCGATGAAATGTGATTCCGTTTGTTTTGTAATTAGATGTTTTGCTGTTTTTCCCACACCACCGAATAGCATAGCACGGCATTGTTAGAGATATTATTTTTATTACAATAAATACAGATCTTTATTACACTAAATAGAGCAAATTTTTTGTAATGTATGGAGACGTACACACAGGTCAGTAGTTGGCCTGTCTATATTTCATGCAAACGAGAGTTGATATTTATAAGAGCTGTATCGCTAATGTGTTACCAGGAATATATGGCCCTTATTTCGTCTTTATTTCTGGTTATATACTCGACGACCATTCCATTTCAAATCAATAACTATCATAACGAGGTTATAAATTAAATGCGCTGTTTGTAGTTCGCTCCGTGAATGTCATCGTAATGTCATCCATCTTCTAATAAAATTATGATTTTCAGGAACACCTTGCGAGTGTGATGAGGCACTACAGAGCCCGAAAACACGTAATTGTGAAGTAAATTTTTTGGCAATCCTTTAAAAAAAAAACTTAATAAAATACATATTCGTTTATAAAAGCAATGGGTAACGTTTTGTATAATAGGTATAAAAGCAGCATCTTGCAGTTTAAACGCAACCTGATGGATCTGAGGGAAGCTCGGGACGCCAATGGCCGCCAGCTGCTGGCGCGCAATGACGCGTTTTTGGACATCGCCGGGTGTTACATTATGAGGAATGTGAGAATGACTACTACTACATTCTCCTAACTGTTTCGTCTACGGCAACAGCTTTGACTCTACTGTTGGTGGCGCATGTAACCAATCTTATTGGCAACCTGTAGTAGTGTGAACTGATAGCCACAGGTGGTCGTGCTTTCAGCTCGTCACGTCTGACAATTCGTCGACGGGTTTCGAATTGTGAAAAGATCTCCATTTGGGACGATCAATAGCCTGCTCCTCCCACTCTATTGCGTCAATGTGAGAATGAATATTTGATTTATTTATTGGTATTACAAAATGGATATCAATATAGAAAAAAGGATACGTCTATTTTGGTTCATCGCTAATAACAAGGGTGTCAGATGTTTTGAATTTTTGAACGTAAAACTTGAGAAACGTAAATAAAAAATTTGATAGGAATGTAGAAATTTTGACATACAGCATATTGCTTTGGGGTGATGCCGCCGATATTAATGGTTTTTGTTTTGCAAAACGTAAGTGCAACTGGACCTAGAGTGTCTCCAGTTCATTTCAGGGAGGTCAGCGTAGTGAACGAGCAGTAGCTTAAAACATGACGTTTTCAAGCATTGACTTACAAATAAATGGATGACGGGTATAATACAAAAACCACGAAAAAATGTCCCCAAGTCAACCTATTTAAACGTAGTGACATGTAAAGGAATATGAAAAAGCTAAAACGTTGAATTTAAATTGTAATGTCATCGCAGTGCTGTCTAATTTTGCTTGCTTTGCTGTCAGTCGAACAAACAAAGACTAAAGCGTGAATGACGCTCTGTATACGATTTTAACGCCCTATAAGTTCGGACACTTTTTAGCGCGGACCCGACGTCCATATAATTGTAAGTCAACGATCTAGCCATTATAATTTTACTTTGGAAAGTAAGTTACTCCTACTGAACCTTGCAGGGTTTTGGTTTGAGACGAGAGAAAATAATTTTTTATTATTAAAATTTGAGTCGCGATAAATGTTAGTAGACCCCCGCTTCTGAGACATTCGCCCGATCTAAGAATTTTCACTAACTCAGGCGCCCCGCAATACTGTACTGCATTTCGCGCGCGTAAATTGTCAAACCAAAAGACTGTGTTGCTGTGTACCGTGTTATGTCAAAATAATCTCTAAATTTTAAAGCTTACAGTGTATTTTAGTTCTTAATATCTCATTCAAAAACACTAATACCGCCAAAGTTGAAATGTCAGGGTACAGATTAGGCCTAGAGAAATGAGCGCTGTCCAATCAAAAACACTGTAAGTCAATGTTTTCAAGTGTAAAAATTTTACATAAGGAATATTGGTAGGTCAATGTATGGAATAAATGATTACTTGATTTTGACTCGTAAGAGATAAGCATCAATCAAATTATAAGTAGAGGGGTTCAGACCCAAACAATGATAACGTAAACGCCTAGTGTACATTATAATTAACATTTTGCATTCAAATTTAACGATAAAAAATCCCAGTTACATTTTTCATACAAAACTGGAATTCGAACGAAGTTCAATTATTCGAAGATTAGCACTCCTGGAACGGTATAATAACTCTAAAGTCTTTATGTAGTCCTAAATCAGCATTTTTTTTATCAATTTTCTAAATAATATAACGAAATGAATTGTAAAATGTTGCTCTCGAGTAACTTCTTACGATTCTGCTGTTTGACATAACAGCAATTCCTATTTTGTGGATCATTTTACGCATTTCCATTATATTATATAAATTGATAGCAATTCATAATATTAATGTGTCAAAGGACTTCTTTGCGATTTGAAATATGAATCGTATTAAGATCGTATTATGATTTTGCCAATGCGGCCTTTTTAGCCCTACAGGGCATAGTTGCTTGGGTCTGAAGCACGTAATGTTTAGTATGTATACATTTTAATGTTTAATAGGCGTAGAGCGCTTTGTTCATTGCAATTTAATGGGTCTTAGGGGGTTAAGGAAAAATTCATTCCATCTGGCTGGCCTCAAACCAGCGTCTGTTGCCACACCGGGGCCACCGCTGTTACCAATTGACTTACAGTCTCGATAAAAAAAAACCTTATCTTACCAACCGATCTATCCGTCAAGTCTCGATCAGTAGATTAGTTGGTAAGAAGTTTTTTTGTGTTATTCGATCTTTGTGATAATGTATCAATTATAATAATTTAAATCAGTGTGATGATTTCAATGGTAGTTTGCTTATCTATATTTATATTTGCCTTAGAATAATAACGCATAGGATGATAGTTTCTCATGAAACGAACTGTCACAAGTGAAGCAAAAATCAAATTCATGTAGGCGTAAGCAACTTGTATCTACGCTCGTCGGCACGCACACAAATATACAAATGATGATGCCATGGAATAACATTTCCCTCAAAAATGCAAGTTGACCTTGAGCACTGACGGCCCGCCCGCTCGTGTAGGCCCATTGGGAGCGCTTCAATTTGCCTCACTTAGCGTTTGCGGGCTAGGTTTCTATACGTTATTATTCTAAGGTATTTGCGCTACTTGCCTTATTATGTCTAGTAGGATAAAATTATCTCATCCAAAATAAACATTTTGCAGCGAGTAGACACTACATTGAGAGACGAGGGAGATGAAATTTGCCTACGATCAACTTTTCCTTGCATCTTGCAACCTAGCTCGTCACTGCAGGCGGCTTGGCAGGGCTTCGTGGCACTGATAATTTTCATTGTGTCTTTGGTAGGAATTGTTTAAATTGTACTTTAATTAGTACAAAATTTGAACTTGAGTAAATACTTTCAACTGTTTCAGACTCACCCATACTTCCACGTGCATGTAAAAACAATACCTCCCCTTTTTCGATTCTTCGACTACGTAGTGACGGTTATTTTCATTTTAGACATAGCGGCACATCTCTCGACTGGTGATAAAATTGAAGAAGGTACTTGTTGTAATTATTTTGGCAGGGTGTAATAAAACCGTCTATAGTATGAATCATTATTTAGATGTTCTAAATGTAAACAAAGAAATATCATGAAAAGAGTGCCGTCGTGCTAAACTTTCTATTTTTAACGGAATTGGAGAAGGTTTTCATTTCCTACAATATTATCTATTAGAAAATATTAACAATAAACAAAATCGTTAACAACCAGATACAATAATTTAACAAACGCAATAGACACAAACCCGACTGAAGAGAAGGGAGTATATTATTCTTGTCTGCATGACATAGAAGCTGATGATATACTGCCTTTTCTAGAATTTTGGAAAGAAAAGGCAGTACACTAATAGGCCTAAGATCTTTTAGTTCACTGGGATTGTCAACCTTAGGCAGTGGAGTGACCAATGCTTCCTTCTACAGTCTAGGAACCCTACCTGTCAAAATGGACCTATTCACAATCGCAGTGATTATCGACAAGGTCTTTGGTAACGTCAACATAATCATGTCACGGCTAATATTGTCACACCCTATTGCATTTGACTTGACTGACAAGATATATTTCGAAACATCCATTTCCGTAATAGGTTGAAGAGTGAAGGAATCAGCCCCAAAACTAGAAGTCTCAAATTTACCTCTTGCCATTATTAGAAAAATCGTGCCCGCCATCTTGGATTTAGAAATGAGTGCCAAATTCGTGTTGAGCATTCCCAAATACCTCAAAAAAGATACCCATATTGCATTTTTTGAAAAATCGTCTGCGCCATCTTGGATTTACAAATAAGTGCTATATTCGTAATGAGCACCCCAAAATATCTCGAAAACGATACCCAACTTGCCATTATTTGAGAAATCGTGCCCGCCATGTTACACTTAGAAAAGTCGTGTTAGCCATCATGTATTCAGATGTAAATGCCATCCCCGTAAGGATAACCAAAAATAAATTCTTGAAAATTCTTGGCAACCATCTTGGATTTAGAAATTAATGCCACATTCTAAACAAGCACTCCCAAACATCTCGAAAACGTCTATAACTCTCGTTGTCGATCGACAATGTCGATTATACGTTGTCGATTATAATAATACGTTCCGGTATTCTTTTTAATTTTTTTTCTCCAGTTTTAACAAAATAAGTGAAAGTCACGTTTCTTCGTCAGAATCCATCGTGTAACTGAGTCGAAAGATAAAACATCACTAAAAATTTGGTCGCACTTTAGCAGCGCGACAGTCGCGCGGCCGCCGCGCGGTTGCAGCGCGTTCGCCGCGCGACCGCCGCGCGGCTGCAGCGCTGCTGCAGCGCGGCTAACAGCAGCTAATTTGAACGCGCCCATATAATACTACTTTACTACGCCACAGTAATAAATGAAAATTAAAAAGTGAGTAATTTCTCATTCATGGGAGCCGGCTCTACGTCTCCCTAATTTAAAAAGAAGAAGAAAAAATTATACACTCGTGGAAATCGCAATATTTGCCATCGAGGATAAACTCTAATAAATTTCACGTCGAATATATACTGTAACTTTCCAATTTATTATAAACAAATATGTTTTCTTGGGAATACAAAATGTGTTTCAATTTTTCTTATCATTAATGTCAATTCAACTAAAAGCCTCCTAATGACAAAAGTTCATACCGCATCACCTTCATCCTTCGCACACGTGAGAAGGGGCTCCTGTCGGATTGGAGTGTACACAGTGAAGTAACCTGTGCATCTCCGTTTTAGCAAAAAATCGACTTAAATACCAATTTCAGTGCTACTAAATCGTTCTCATTCATGTAAAGCAATCTATCTAAATAAATATTAAGTCATAGTTTTATAAACTTTATTGTACATTAATTAGACGAAGTGAACTTTAAAATCCACGCATTTTTATAACGGTCCAGCATATTTTACGACTTTGACAACTAAAAATGTATCCAAATATCATTCTTGTCACTCTCATTCTTGTCTACTTTTAAGTCAAATAGTTGCGTTAAGCGGAACATTTACTTTAAATATAACAATTAGACGGTGATAATGGCAAAGATGATGATGGTGGTGGTGATGATGATGATATATTGATGTACAATAAAGTTTATATGACATTAACAAAATACTTATTTAGATTT